ATCAAGACAAACCTATGCAGAGTCACAAGGCATAGGAGCCTATTTCGGTGTCTCTTTCTCCTTCCTTCCCTTCCTCCACCCTGGCCACTTCTTGTATCATGTTTTCCTCTACTGCTCTGCCAACCAAATGGAGGATTTATCTGAATTTCATTTTGTGAGGAATTTCAGAGTTAATTTAAGCATTACATAAATAATAATAAATGTACTATATCTAAATTCTTAGAAGTTGATAAAAAAGATATAACTTTGATAGGAAGCTGATCACCAAGTAATACTGCTTTAGGTAGTAAGCCAATAACATGACCTTACTAGACTTCTAGTCACAAAATGTTCCCAAGAAGGTTGGACTGAATATGCGATAGGCAAATCTACACCAAAGACAGCACATGTTAATACAGTCACAAAGGGCCTGGCCGGGCGTGGCTCAGCGGGTGAGCGTTGACCTAGGATCCAGGCGATCGGGGTTCGATTCCCGGTCACGGCACATGCCCGGGTTGCGGGCTTGATCCCCAGGAGGCAGCTGATCAATGACTCTCTCATCATTGATGTTTCTATCTCTCTCTCCCTCTCTTTTCCTCTCTCTGTAATCAATAAAGATATATTAAAAAAAAAAAATACAGTCACAAAGGGAAACCACCATACACTTCTTATAAAGTGACCCAAGGGCACAAAGGGCGCTGCCAGCTAGTTCTGTGATAATGTCAAAGTATCAGTTCATGCTTATATGATTTTTGTGTGACTGACTATGACCCTTTTAAGCAAGGTCAACAGAACAGAGAACTTACTGATGAAGGTGTTAGTGGCTCCAAGGCACAAAATTCTTTCATTAAAAAATAAACTACACTTTAGGCATAAGCTGTGAAGAAAGACAACATAGGTTTTCACTCCTGTAAATATAGAAAATTGTGAAGAGGAGAGGGAAGGTGATACTGGGGACATCTCTGGAATATGAGTCACCTTAGCATTTTTCTCCTCTTTTCCTTCTTTTGGCTTCACCTCTGCTTTCTTACTAGATCCTGCTCCCTGTCTTCCTCTCAGGGTCCCACTGGCTGCATTCCTTTCTTTGTAACACTCTTAAGAAACAGACAGATGATGGGTAATAAAATGGTCAAGGTACAAACCCTATCAACTCCTGCCATACTTTATGGCTTAATCCAAGTTCTGAGAAAACAATGGTTTCATTAGTATTTGTGTGCTGGTAAATCATCTTTCTTTTGTTGTTGTTAATCCTCACATGAAGATATTTTTCCATTGATTTTTTAGAGAGTAGAAGGGAGAGGGAGAGGCAGAGAGAGAGAAACACTGATGTGAGACACATCGACTGGTTGCTTCCCACACTCACCCTGATGGGCTGGGGATTGAGCCTGCAACCAAGGTACATGCCCTTGACCGGAATCAAACTTGAGACCCTTCAGTCCTCAGGCCGATGCTCCAACCACTGAGCTAAACTGGCTAGGGCAATCATCTTACTTTTAGTAACACTTCATCTATCTGGAATCGGCAAAGTTGTTTGCATATTTCAAATACATAAAGTTTACTTCCTTTGGGCCAAAACTTTTAATTTTAACTATATTGCTTAATGACATGCTTTCTAAATTATATTAGTTTATTTATATGCTGAACATAATATAACCTTAGAATAATGTAAGGTATTCCAAAGCTGGGATATGATGGCTTCTGAGAAAAAAAATAGTTAATATGGAAACAGTTAACAGGGAAAATACAAAAAGAGATATCCAAAACTTAATAGATGAAGAAAAAAAAATATAAAAAGCTCCTTTTGGAATTTAAAGATGATTTCTTGCATTTAGAACCATGGCAACTATCTATTATTACATTTGGTGTGATGTATAGTTTTAAATGTACAAAATATCTTTTCATAGTTATTACTATCTATTTGAAATGTTGATAGAAACTAAATGGCAAGCAAGAGATTCTGTAGGTATAGATTTTATCAAGAGAGAATTTTCAGTAAATTACCTAGCACTCCCAATGATGAAGCATTATTCACCTTAAAATATTTGGAATAGGGAGTAAAGATTTATTTTAGGGCAATAGTAGATAAAAGTTTTTGCTGGCTAAGGATTAAAGAAGGACTGATGACCATCTGGCAGTCCCTCAGGTTAAAAAGAGTTACCAAAATGATCCAGCAATTCTACTCCCAAGAGAAATAAAAACATGTTCACACAAAAACTTGTATATGAACTGTCAGAGGAGCTTATCATAATAGTGAAAAAGTGAAAACAGGTCAAATGTCCAGCCATGGGTGAATGGATAAATAAAATGTTACATATCCATATAATGGTATATACTAATTGGTAATAAAAAAGAATGAAATACTGGCACATGCCACAACATGGGTAAAACTTGAAACATTATGTCTAAATGAGAGAAGCCAGTCATAAGAGAGCATATATTATATAGTTCCATTTATATGAAACATCCAGAATAGGCAAATCTATAGGGACAGAAAGTAGACTAGTGGTTGCCTAGTTGACTAGTAGAATAAGAGGAAAAGGGGAGTGATTGCTAATTGGTACGGGGTTTCTTTCTGGAGTGAAGAAAATGCTTGTGGTTGATAGTTATACAACTCTGTGAATATAATAAATCCACTGAAATATAACTTTAAGAAAGTATAACTAGCCTTGGCCAGTTAAGCTCAGTGGTGAGAGTGTCGGCCCATAGACCGAAGGGTCGGGGGTTTGATTCCTGGTCAAGGGCACGTACCTGGATTGCAGGTTCAATCCCCGGGCCCAGTCAGGGTGTGGGCAGAAGGCAACCAATCAATGTGTCTCTCTCACATCGATGCTTCTCTCCCCCCCACACCCCGAAAAGCAATGGGAAAAATATCCTTGGGTGAGGATTAAAAATAATAATAATGATAGTTTAGTTTCTAGACCAGTGGTTCACAAGCTCTTTGAGAGTCCTAGGCCCTCTATGAGAACCTGATATAAACTATGGATCTGTTCCCCAGAAAAACCCATACCTTTTTGCATATATTCAAGAGATTACTACAACCCATAAATTAAAGAAAGCTCTATTATAAGAGATTCAGTGAGTAACACCACATAAAAATGATCTGAAGAACCAAAATTGAGAGCATTACTAGTTATTCCTTTTCTTTGATGCAAGATGAATAATAAACTTTAAAAACATGCCATTGCATGTCAAGGCAAAGGAATTCTTTCACTGGTCCTTTCTGAATGTCCCTCTACCGATGTCTATTTTCATATATATATATATGAATATATATATTTCATATATAAATATCATATATGTACATATATATGCATGTGTGTTATTCATGAGAATATATTGTTTGCACTCAGAGTTTCTGGATTGACTTTTTCATATTTACATAAAACACAAGGATAAACTTCATTAAAATCAGAAGAAACACAGCTTAGCTAATAAATTATTCTATTTCAATTTTTTTTTCTAGCTTGGAATGCCGTTTCTGAGGCTTTGATGCTAAAGGGAGTGAAGTCATTAAGATGAGTTGATAATACTGCAGCATGAGCACTTTCCTGCTGTTTATTAAAAGAAACTGTATCTTTTGGAATTTAAATTAATTCCTTAATGAAAGAGTAAAAGGTTGAAGTACATGAGTAGAGAAATCTCTGCAGAAATGGGAAACTGCACAATCAATACTGAAGTTTCATAAATCATTTGCTATAGCTTTGAATAAATTGGAAAAAAATGTACCAACCCTTTGATAAGTCATGATTTGGTTATGTTAAAAAGTTTTTGCCTGGCTGGTGCAGCTCAGCCGTTGAGCATCGACTTATGATCCAGATCTCGGTTTGATTCCTGGTCAAGGCACATGCCCGGGTTTTGGGCTCAATTCCCAGCAGGGGGCGTGCAGGAGGCAGCTGATCAATGACTCATTGATGTTTCAATCTCTCTCCCCCTCTCCCTTCCTCTCTCTGAAAAAAAAATATTTTTAAAAAAGTTTTAAAAAATGATTATTTATAGAACAAACAAGATTTTGAAAACATCAATTTATTAAATTTTCCCTTAAAAAAATGGAGAACAGGCAAACCTACCTACAGTCTCAACAAGCATCACGAGGCAGTACTGCCAGTTTAAAAGGACCTAATGCTAGTGCTAGGTAGATTCTGATTTTTAAAAATCCACTGGAGAATAGCCCGCAAGGTGGAAATAAACTCTCTCACTGTGACAAACCAGTACGATTAAAAGAATATGATTCTTCTGAGACACATTTGTTTTTCCAATTAAAAAAAGGAATTGAGCTTTTCTGGAGGCAGCTAGGAGAACAAAAGAAAGACTAGAAATGATATAAACAAAGACTTCAGGCTTAATGTTAAGAATCAGTCAAAAGGATGGTAAATCCACCTTTTCTTTATATGAAACTATTGATATTAGATACTTAAAATTCAAAACAATAAAACTCATGTTCTAAACAAGAGAAGCTGCATCAAGACATCTTTTCAGCCATTAGCATAGGTGCATAGGAACTCACAGATGACATACCTCTCTTCAGTGATGCTTTGTTAATGAAGCAGGGCACATTTAAAGGATCAATGTGAGCATATACATACCACAGGCTGTTTTGTGATGTCCACCAAGTCCTTAAGATTATAATACTGATGTTTCTCAAAAGCCGAAAATAGCATGTCTAAAACATATTGTTTATCAGCTCGAGCTCGTTTTCCATCTTCTTTCTTTTTCCTTTCATATTCAATCTATGTGCAAAAAGCAAAAGAAATAAAAGCATCAATTCAACATGCTCACTCTGAAACACAGGCATTTTCTTTTTAGCCATCAAAATAACTGTTAGATTTTAAACTGCAAGGTAGCAGGTTTAAGAGCAGTGGTTCAGAACCTAGGGTCTTCATTGCTCCCAGGGCGCCTCAGATCTTTAAGGCTCTAAGAAGTCTTAGATCAGTATTAATGCTGACCTATAAACCATTTTCACTATTTACTATATTTAGCTTTATGTAATGTGTCCATTTCTCCCCAAAAAGGCTTTCTTTGCCAAAATTCTATCAATTCAGTGTGGCTACTGGTTAGCTCATATCGATCAGAAAGTCTAACTTGAAGTTGTTCTGTTTTTGATTACCCAAAATACATGAAGTATATCCAACAAATGCAGTTTAGTAGGTGACATCTTTCAAAACTGAGGGTCTTAGGGGCAGGAAGAGGGTTAAGAGGCTGGCAGATCATAGCACAGGTTCTCTAGGAAGTGACAAGTTTGGGAAGCATTGGTAAAAAACCAAGAGCGTGGGCAGTGACAGGAGGCCATTTCTCACCCCAACTGTGTGACCTCCCTGAACTTGTTTCTTCTATAAAATGAAGTAAACAATGGCACTAAGGGAATGTATGAACTTACTTCTAGTGTTACCATCCAGGGACTTGTTCATTTGTAAAAATTATTCTTTTATTGAAAACATGCAGACTTTCAGTTGATTAAGCTTTAGTTTTCTTAGAAACACTTCATTTTGATAAGGCACCAGGAACTTGTCAGAAGAACTATATATAAACTACAGCAGCCCACCTGGTAAATAAAGCATTGGCAGGTGACAGCTGCGAGAGAGCAATCTGCTGTGCATCCACTGGAATAACTATAATCTAGGTGCTAGCTTCCAAAGTCATGAAATGCAGTTCAAAACTTATAATAAATTACTGCATAAATTCCAGCCTCATACAGTTAGGCTTACTCTCTCTATTTTAGCAATAGAGATTTGTTATCAAAATGATAAAATTTAGTTCCTACTGATGTTAAGACTAAAAATTTATCTTATAATCAGAAATTTTCAAATTAGTGGCAAGAGATAAGCATGACAACAAAGAATATCTGTCTTTCAATTAAAGTTAGAAACTAGACAAAGAAAAAGGTCTAACAATTGTCTTAATTTTTTTAATATGTAGACCTTGAGGGCAAAAAAAATCTATTCATCTCAGGAGGTAGGGAGATAAGACTGAGGGTTTTTAAATATACAAACTTGCAACAAGTAGTAAATAAGCTACAGAGATCTAGTGCACAGTGTAATGAATATACACAATATTGTACTATAATTATGTAATATGATAAGTATCACTACGCCAATCACATTACAATATATAAATTTATCAAAGTAACACACTGTATATCTTAAATTAAAAAGAAATACATCATCTCTTTAAAATATTAAGCATGGACCGTGTATGGGCTTTGCGCTGCACTAAGATACAGAACAAATAAGATAGCCTCTTATAAAATTATCCCTTTCTTGGGGATCATATATTAAAATGTATATAGAGGACCTTGAGCATTTTAAATGTAGTAATAGGTCACAGAGCTACCTATGACAAGATCATGATGCTGAAAAAAAAATGCACATGCATGACACAGACTGTATGGCTGGAGAGGAATGAAATCAAGCCAGTCTCTACACTTTCTGGGTGGAAAGAGCATAAAAGAAAACAACTCTGGGCAGCTAAAAAGGATTTATTAGAGAAGAACAGAGGAACGAGAAAAGCTAGAAGCAAGACTAGAGAGAAGAGATCACATAAACCTATGACCAGAAAGAAAATCCAGTCTTCCCAGTGTGGGAAAGATGAAGAAATAGATGAAAAAAAAATGCATTTAAGGGCAAAGGCAGAAGTACAGAGTCTGCCCCAATTCAGCAAGAAAGGAAGCTGCAAGGGGGCCAGAAGGGATAGACCTAAGGTCCATTCAAGAAAGAATTATCTTTCTCTAGGATCAAAAGAAGGATAGAACTAAGAGAATGGCTGTATGATGGAGAAAGAAAGCGTGATAGACAGGACAAAACCCGTAAGTCCAAGCACGAGGGTCTTTGGATATCATGGAATGCTTAAGGGATTAATATTTTAAGCCTGGTTTTACAGACCAATGACTAAAATATATCTATTTTCCCTGGTTACAATTGTACTTAGTTTACACCCCGAAATCCCCTTCCACTGTTGCGCTGCACTTGAATGGGTTTACGTTTTATATTGTGATGGACAGTCTAGAAAGGGAGCCTGCTAAAAAAGTAGGAACAAGTCTGGACCAGGGGATGAAGCTGTTATAACCCTTTATTCTGGTCAAGTGTGGGAGAAGGAAAACTTAACTTGGGATCAAGAAAACAGAGGGTGAGAGAATCAGACTAAAGAGGGCAAGCCTATTCCTTTCTCACAGGCTTGAGTGGGACGTGGAATTTCACTTAGCCAAAGGCCATTAGTTCTCAGGAAAAACAGAAAGGAAGAGGGGACCTAGCAAAAGACCAGTGTTAGGCTTTTGTATTCTCTGTTTGGAGGCACAGTTGCGTGATATTGTCTGCCCTCCCTTCCCAGCTTTAATTTATGCTGAAAGAAGAAAGAGTTAAATTCAGGAAACATGAAAGAGAAGTGATGATATATTCAGCTTCCACCCTAAGAAGTCTCTGTCTTATGTAAAATGACTGGGGAAGCTAGGAAGATTAATAGAAAAAAAATGTTTTCAAATGAAGAAACCTGCTAATAAAGCAAGAGGGCCCACTTCAGAGAGGGCTGACATGCTACTTGGCAGCAGAGAGAAACACTTTTAAGTGTTTGTTATTAAGTTGTCTCAAACCTAGAGCCACATGTCAGACCCAAGAAGGCCTGAATCAAAGGTAAGAATTTAAAATAAGTTAGAAAGAAACATTAAAATCAGCCCGGCTGGGCAAGGCTCAGCAGTTGAGCATCGACCTTGGGATCCAGGCGATTGGGGTTCGATTCCCGGTCAAGGGCACATGCCCGGGTTGCGGGCTTGATCAATGACTCTCTCATCATTGATGTTTCTATCTCTCTCCCTCTCCTTTCCTCTCTTGGAAATCAATAAAGATATATATATATAAAAACAACAACAACAACAAATAAATTGGTCTCAAACCTATAAAAAAAAAAATCAAAGCTGAAAAGATAAGATTAAGGGTCAGGTTAAGCTGTGATTAGCAAGGTTAATAAGTAGTGAGAAAAGTACCAAATTCTACCCAGATCTTTATTCTTTTAATCTTGGTTTACATGCTTCAATCTCAAAAATACTGCATTAATGTTGGTGTTTTCCTACTTTAAATTAGGGAAAAACAGGTCAATACCTAAGGGCAGTGCAGCCTAACTTTACTTTGACTAGTGAAATTAAAACACTTAAAAGTATAATCTGAAAACCCAGACATATTAAATAATAACAGCAATGACAAAATGGAAATTTTCCTCATTAGAGAAATGTAAGTACTAGAAATTTAACCTTATGTTTATTTGAAAACAAAAGTGAAGTAGAACATCTCTTTAATGCTTTCAGGGCCTACACTATGCAATAACCTAGAAAAGATTGTTTTACAACAAACTTTTTGTACTACAGCATTAGCTAAATCTTTTTTGATAATTTCCAAGACAGGCTCATAATCCAAATTCTGCTCTGTGGTATCAGGTAGTTCCAATGTATATGTAATTATAAAAGGGACTTAAATGACTTCCATAATCATTAAATTACTAAGTTTATACTCGGGACAAAACTAATGTTCCTGAGGTAACTTTTCTTTTAAAATCTAAACACAGTAGAAATGATAATATTTTTTAAAAAATTTTTTATTTACTGATTTGAGAGAGGAAGTGTGTGTGTGTGTGGGGGGGGACTTGGTGTATAGGGATGGCATTCTAATCAACTGAGCTACCTAGCCGGGACAGAAATAATAATCTTAATATTGTACTTACAACTTTGTACTACAAATAAAATTGATTCTATAAATAAACTACAAATGATATGAACTATTTAGAAGGCTACAGTTTGAGAATGTTATTTCTTCTCTTTAGCTCTTTTCCCTTTGGGCATTCTGTTTTGTACTGGTGCACTGGGACACTGGCATTGTAAGAAAATAGTACTCAAAGCAGTCAGATATCTAACTTGTTAGCAGCCACCACAAAATATTAGGACAGTTATTAGACTAGAAAAAACTTTTATGTGACTTTCATCACCAAGATTTTATCTGCCCTTAATGATGACAGATCACTGTATAACCAGCTGTATAGAAATGTCAATTAAGAAAGAAATTTAAATGTCTCCAGTTACAAATTTTTATAATCCAAAAACCCATCATACACAATTTTACTTTCACAAGAGAAAACAAATTATTCAAGACTAAAATGCAACTAAATGTTTAAAATCCATTGTGGATGTGGTATACAGATGTTCAATAGTCATTACTGAAACCTCAATCACTAAAATTATAAATGCCACTCACTGCCAATTCACTGCCAATTACAATATTATAATACAAATGTCTGTAAATTCTAGATTGTTGTTTGCAGAAATACTTTGATTGCTTTGTCAAGACAGTCTTTGTGCAGGCTTTTAACTTTTGAAGCAAACATGACAGCCTTAATTATCATGATTTGCATTTTAAATCCTTATGAAAGATCCCTACCCCCAATGCTTCTATTTCTACCTAGTGTGTGAAAATTAATTCTTTTTAAGAGTCGGTCAATCCTTGGTGTACAAATTCAAATGGACAAAAGCATGTAGTTTACTTATACTATAGGACAAAAGGCAAATACTGCTGAAAGGCCTTTATGATATAGTCCTCCAGGCATCTATTTTAATCAGCAAAACTCCATATTAATACATATAACTAAAAGTAAATAAATAATAAATCTCCCAAGCCCTCCAATAACCTTAATTCTGAAGACTAAGTTGGTTGCCACATTAAAGGAACTAGAGTATACATAAAAATGAATTTTCTCT